CCCCCCCCCCCCCCCCCCCCATGACTTCCATTTTTTTAAGTAAATACCCTAAATTCTTTAAAAAAAAATAAATATGCCCCCCACGAAAATTTCAAATATGCCCCATTAATTTCCTAATTCTCACTTTAAAAAAAATGTCATAGCATTTTAATTTCTTAATTAAAAATTTGTTTTAGTGATCTATGTATATCTGTGTGTGTATTTAATTTCTTAATTAAAAATTTGTTTTAGTGATCTATGTATATCTGTGTGTGTATATATTCTAAAATTGCTTATTTATTTAATTATAATTTAGGTGTAGTAATTTACAATGTTGAGATAAAATTTAACATTATTTTTATCGTTTCAAATTGTGTTTCAAAAAACTGGACAAATACTCTAGAACGGAGTTAGTGTGTCAAAGTGTGTGTGTGTGTGTATATATATATATATATATATGTGTGTGTGTGTGTGTGTGTATATATATATATATATATATATATTCTTAAGTGTAATTTGCACTGAATAAGACTAAAACATAAGTCATTTCTGAATGTAGGACTTAAATTTTTTTATTTTCTAAATATGATTAAATAATGTTTAGTAGGAGGAATAATGTCTAGGGATGCTGGACATTTACTTTAATAATGACTAATGCATAATGACCAATGGTTCTACATTGGGAAACAAGAACATATTGTTCTATATTGAGAAAATAATTATGTTTTAGTCCTATTTAGATAAATTCCTCTGTTCTTAATTACTAATGTATTCCTACAGGTACCTACCATGGCCAGACATCTTCCAGTTTCAATCCTTCCTCCACTCTCTCTTGCTCCACCACCAACAATGTCGAAACCCAATATGAAAACCATCTTTCGTTATTCAACTACAACCACTGCTCTGGCCCTGCCGCAGCCACTCTGCCGCCGCTGATGAACATCGACGAGACTGCAGTGGTGTCGGCGGCAGACCTGCAGCATGGCCATGGGGGTGTGGATGATCCGACGGCGGGGGAAGGAATGTGGCCGTCGGCGGGGACATTCAACTTGAACGGGTTGCCGGAGATCGACGACTCGTCGATCTGGGCGGAGGCGAGTGCCGACAGCGAGCTTCAAGCAGCCGCTACTGACCCCGCCGGGTTCTTTTATGGTGATGATGGTGGGAAGAGCGGCGACAGCTGCAGCTGGATGGGTGGCTACCCTTCTTGGTACCCTTAAATATTTATGCATATTTTGATGAGTTTATATCTATAGGTTTGATTTTAAAAGAACAATATCTATATATATGTGAAACCTTGTATGGATGGGTAAACATGGAGTCTATGCAATGTGAAGTATTGTATAAACATTCATGCATGGATCAATTATGAAAGTGCGTGTTGGGTTGTGTGGATGCTTTGGCCTGCGGCCTTGTGTGATAGGGGATGAGAACCTCAGGCCACAATTATGATACCACTTTGACACACGATTTCTCACATGACAATAATTATCTATGCATCGGCATATACAATTATTGTCTATGTATATCTGTAAGAAATATGATGTTAAAATGGTATCGAAATTCTAGAATGCCCTTAACTTTTTAAAAAAACTATGTGTGAGTCCTTTTGTGTCGTTTGCATTTGAGTTGTGTGTATTCATAATTTCGTATCGTTGAATATAATCCCTATTTGTGTAAAAAAAATGATCTTCAATTCCAATTCATTATTGGCCAATCAGTATCTACCACAGGTCTAATGTTTTGATTGATAGAATTTACGATGAGATAAAGATCATTATATTATGTTATAAGACATTTAGGCTGAACTACATTAAGAGATTAAATTCGATCGATTACTTTAATTGAACTTATGAGCTATATATATAACGATTAGTCTTCAATTTCCAATGTGCGATACACTCTAACATTCTCCTTCAAGTGGACAAGCAAACCGTTTTAAATTTATCCGGTTTCCTGTTACAAATGGACTCCCTTCCACTTGAAACAAATATTTAAGAATGCAGACACCTTAAGAACTCCGAGTCGCTTGGTTTGGACTTCAAGATGAATAAACGGGTTAAATGGGCCACATACCGTTGGTTATATATTCTATACAGACAACTAGACTAGAAATGAACATCTAGACAAACACCTTAACAAATGAGCTGGATCATAATCTGTTCTGATACCATCATAGAATTTGGATGGGGTAGGGATCACTAAACTAAGTCATAAAACATCTGGGATGAACTACATTAAAATATTGAATCGAACTATTTACATAGTTCAACTCATGAGTTTATATACCGATTACTTTTTTCTTCAACTTGGATAATTTGCCATAAATCCTTCAAATAAATACTAGGTTTTATTCTTATTTGGATAATTTGTCACAAATCCTTCAAATGGAGGGTTTCGATATCTTCCGAATTTGGGAGATATTAGTAAGGGGGGTTGATTTCTCTTTCAACTATTGATCATTCTCTATCACCAGCTACCATTGTCAATGCCAACCACCCTGTTTCCAGTCACTTTCGCTTATCACTAATTAAACCATGATTTAAAATCTTTCCCAACAATTTCATTTCAGATTTCAAAATCTATATCATTTCTCCCAAATTTCATAACTCATAAATTATGATATCTTCAAAACTAAGCAAAAGGGCTCTTAAGTAGTTTCCTTCTATAATGAGTGAACAATTTTTTTTTGTGTTTCCAAATTTATCACTCTCATGCAAAGGACTTTTTTTTTAGTGAATTTTCAAAATAATCTTATTTAAATTTTAATAGTGTTTTCTGAATTGATCATGAAAACCAGAAAGAATTTTTTTAGAACTCCATATTAAAATGAACATAAATTTATTAAATTTAATTATAATAAATACAGAATATACTTTTTCATAATTTATAATCAAAATTTTTAAAATTTAACAAAAAATCAACTTGTAAGGATTTTTTAGAACATAAGAAGTATAATATATTTTCAAATTCAAATATTGTTTCCTTATATTCTTATGTTTTACGTCGTCCATCCGAAATTAGATTACAATTTTTTATCCACCTACCTCCCGATAACTTTGTTTATTTGCGTATTTTAATTAATTATTTAATAATATAATATTTTGTGAACTTTTATTTTGTAAAACTTTCGACATAACTTTTTTACTTCATCCGTCCCAAAAAGGGTCGCCTGTTCTTATGTTTACGCGATTTGAGTGAAGTTATTTTAATTCAATTATTTGAAAATTGGCAATTAAGGAATTAAAAATAAAATTTATATATATTTAAAAACTACATCAAAAGTTCTACTACATCCATTCAACAAAACTATTCCTATTTTGTTTTTACGTACAAAATCTCATCTTTTTAAGCACTAGGTCGGGTCGAGTTTAATCACCTTGGGTTTAGGTTACTTCGGGTTCGGGTAAGTTGGGGTTCATGTTGAGAGCTACATGTTCATGACCCAATGTCATCAGGTTCGGGTCGATCCAATGAGTTATGAATTTCATTTATTCTGTGAAATTTTAAGTAATTTTTATGACAGATTGTCTTTATTATGAATAAAGAAACTAAATATGCAGAAAATTTTGAAAAAATAAGATAATAATGCGATATCATTAAATTTTGTATGAAAATATAAATTTATACATTAAAAACGAGTAGTAAGCAAAGAAACAAACTTAAAATCTTATTTTTATAACATTATGTTACATATTAAAGATTATGAATTTGAAAAATTCTTAAATTAGCAGGTCAATTAAGTCGGATTTGGTCAGATTTGACCCATTTTTAACAGGTAATTTCGTATTCAATTAGCAAAACTTTTACTTATATTCAAAACCCAGTATTTTTCGGATGGGATAAAAAGGTGCCATCATACAAATTCCCTCGGCCGGTGAGTTATCTACAGGTAGGGTTTGCTTAGACTTGCAGCCACAGAATTCTTATCTATACCCAAACACTCGCAAGACTCCCATTCGTCTCCTTCTCCTTCTCTATCACATCTCCATCTCTCCCTCTCTGCTTTCAAACCCTCCGCCAGAATAATCTGTTCTAAATGGTCCGACTCTCTGCTTCATTTTGAAATTGAAGAAGAACCCAAAGACATTCCGCAGTCGTACATCTTTCTTCTAGATCCCTTCGAAGCGCGGGGTTGACGTTTTTAACGTTCTTGCGGGAAATTCACAGTCTATGACAATCTTCATCGAGGTATTCTATGCATTTGAATTTCATCATAAATTTCTTCAATTTTTCGTCCTAATTTAAGTTTCAATCCCGATTCAGACTCTCAATTCATATGGGTTAGTTTACTCATTTGTGATTTATAAATCTTACTTTTGCATTTGAACATGACTTGATTTAGAATTGTTTAATCTTATCTTCTCAGCAACTTTGTATTTCAATTTAAGAATAGTAGCTAAAAAGGCCCATTTTGATTCTTTGCTGCATTTTATATTTATTGAATTTTATTAGGGTGTACTGTTGAAGTTGCGGTATTATTTGAAAAACATGAGTTCATTTTAGGGTGCACTGCCCAAATACTGTTGTTTTCATGCTTTTCAATTACTGTTGAACCCTGCCCAAATACTTCCGTTTTCATGTTTTAGAAGGGTTTAATTGAATTTGCTTTATTATATCAGTTTTTGGAGGGTTTATATTGTAGACGATGGCTAGCACAAGGATGACTGGTAATCTAAATGCCAGGTAAGTCAGTGGCTACATGTACTCTAAACTAACAAAACATGTTTCAATTAAGAAAATAAGTTTAATATCTGCAAAAAGATCTTTAGGCCTCATTCGGTACACATAATTAGAATTGAAATTTTATGAAATTGATTTGGATGGAATTGAATTCTAATTCAATTCCAAATCTTTTGTTTGGTATAATTAAGAAATTTATATAGAATTGTATTGGTAACACAAAATTGTATACTCCCTCCATCCCAAAAAGAATTACTCTTCACTATTCAAAACTTAAGGAATCTTTTGTTTATTTATGCGTTTGATTGGTAGGCCAAGTATTTGTTTGAGAAAGGAGTTGATCCCGTGAGCATTGCAGTGCATCCCAAGGGAGACCATGTCATTTGATTCACCACCGCTCTCTGTAAGTGATTACCCTCTCTAACTTTGTTGCCGGAATGGTCAATATTATCTAAAAGTTAGTTTTTGAGGGTTTGATTCCTCCCCCCCTTGGGTGATTGTTTGCGAATGTACTCACGATACCCAAGTACTCACCTAGCATGTTAATCACTATATTATGCTCATTTAAATTTCTTAGATTTTTTTTAATTTTGCAAGTCTAATAAAGATTAGTGGAAGTTCATTGATGGATGATGATAAGTTAGACAAATCCTGATGATAATGGTGATTAATATGTTTAGCTTTTTTAAAGATGTATATTCCATTTTAATTGATGACAAGAGAATGTCAAAAATGAGGTGAATGAAGTTGTCCTGTGTGTGTGGTGTGGACAACACAGTATGTCAACTCGCAATACCCCTGGAAAATTAAGAAAAAAGGGTAGTTGCTATTTTCCTTTAAGGTGCTCAAGGTTTCACCCCAAGTCTTGTTTTTGACACTGTAATTTCATGCTTTGTGCTTCAAAATCTTTTCCTCTCTTTCTCTTACACTATTTAATATTTCATTTCAAGATGAATCAAATGAAATTATATTTACATCACTCCCTTCATTTGAAAATGAATAACCCATTTTCCCTTTTGATGTGTGAAAATAAATTGCTCGTTTCCTTATTTGGCATTTTTATTTGGTAATAGTCATTAGTGCACTTTTCAAACATATTGGCCCAAACTTGTCATTGCATCTTTTACATAGTTGTTAATGGCGAGTGGCGAGGGGCGGGCAAAAAGACCTTTCTTATGGCGAGAGGCGTGGCGAGAGACAGGCGGTCAAATGGTGAACATATATATCTCTTTGTATATGTATATGTATATGTATATGTATATGTATATGTATATGTATATGTATATGTATATGTATATGTATATGTATATGTATATGTATATGTATATGTATATGTATATGTATATGTATATGTATATGTATATGTATATGTATATGTATATGTATATGTATATGTATATGTATATGTATATGTATATGTA